TGGTTTGCCCATCTCCTTATTCGCTACCGCTTATAATTGCCATTGTTCTATAAATTTTTAATGGGTCAACATGGTTCAGGCATGTGGAAGTGCCTCACCGGGCGCATAAATGAGCCCACATGGTTCACGCATGTGTGGCTTGGTGCTGCGTCGATGTGGTTCACGCATGCCTGACGAACAGCGAGTTTGTAATGATCAACATGGTTCAGGCATGTTGAATTGCCTCTCCGATACGGTTCAGGCGTAACTGGCGCATAAATGAGCCCACATGGTTCACGCATTTGTGGCTTGGCGCTGCTTCGATATGGTTCACGCATACCTGAAGAACAGCGAGTTTTGTAATGGGTCAACATGGTTCAGGCATGTTGAAGTGTCTCACCGATACGGTTCAGGTGGGTTCAGGCGTACCGGGTGCATAAATGAGCCCACATGGTGCACGCATGTGTGGCTTGGTGCTGCGTCGATACGTCGATATGGTTCAGACATACCTGGCGAACAGCGAGTTTTACTGTGTCAACATGATTCAGGCATGTTGAATTGCCGCACCAATACGTGTCAAAATACCGGACGCGTAGATGAGCCCAGATGGTTCAGGCATGTGTGGCTTGGAGCCGCGTCGATATGGTTCATGCATACTTTATGAACAGCTAATTTAACTGTCAACATGGTTCATGCATGTTGAATCGCCTCACCGATACGCCAGAGAACCGGGCGCGTAATCCAGCCGCCCACATGATTCAGGCATTTTTGGCTGAGGGCCGCGTAGATATGGTTCAGGCATCACGACGAACAACGCATTTAACTGTCAACATGATTCATGCATGTTGAATTGCCGCACCGCTACTGGTACTACCTGACGCACAACGGATTTTAACTGTGTCAACATGATTCATGCATGTTGAATCGCCGCACCGATGCGTGTTCGAATACCGGGCGCATAAATGGGCCCGCATGATTCAGGCATCTTTGGTTGGGAGCTGCTCGATATGGTTTAGACGTACCTGACGCACGACGGATTTAACTGTCAACATGATTCATGCATGTTGAATCGCCTCATCGATACGGGTCAAAGAACCGGCGTATGTGAGCCCACATGATTCAAGCGTGTATGGCTGGGAGCCACGTAGATATGGTTCAGGCATGCCTGACGAACAACGAATTTAGATGTGTCAACATGATCATGCATGCTGAATTTCCGTACCGATACGGATCAGAGAACCGGTGTAGGGAAGCCCACATGATTCGGGCGTGTGTGGCTGGGAGCCGCGTAGATCCTCCCGGCGCGCACCACGCCCCAGGCCGGTGACCAGGTATTCACTGCTGCGCAGGCCACCATAAAACCCCAGCGTGCACGCCGCCCACACGCATCGCTGGTCCCATGGAGACGCCGGTGTCGCCGCCAGCCGTATTTCCAACCGGCGTAAATGTTGCACGGTGAGCGCATGACGCGCACGCACGGCCGGCTGTGCGCCTCGCGGCTCAAAGCCCCTTAATGCCGCTGTGACGTAAGGCGGCAGGACATCGGCCATCGCCAGCCAGATTGAAGGTGCAGGCGTCGGACCGCGGCGAGATACTGTCGCGCGCTGGCCAACGATAAACCCATCAGTCGCATATGTCCCACAAAAACGTGAGTGTGGCTTCCGTCGCCGGCACGACACTCAAGCCGTACCGCTCACAAAACTCAATGAAACACGCCTGCCCCGTCCGGTACGCCCTGCGTGTGCCCGGTGCAATGCTGTTGCGCAGCAGGGCCTGCGTGACGTTAAGTAACTGGTAGTCGCCTTCGCACGGGTGTCCACCGCCACGCGGAAAACCCGGACATTCACTGCCCATGCTGGACCAATGTCACTGTCACCCAGCGAGCACTGTCACCGCTAGCCGCACACTGCCCTGATTTCACATGCACCCGGCGCCCCGCCCTCCGCACCCCTCCCCATCTCGCCCTGCCCCCCCTCCCCCTCCCCCCGGTATCCGACCTCTGCGTGCGTGTCTCCCCACCCTCCCCTCCCCGGCAACGGCCGTCCTCGTGTAACCGAACCCGGGTATTGGTGGCCAGAGTGCCCACTCGGCGCCTGTGTAAACACTCCCCCGGTCTAATTCCCGGCGCCCCGAGCCGCCCAGCTGTGCGCCACCTCCCCAACACAGCCGGCCGCCTGCTAGCGAGTGGGACGCGGTGCCGCTGCCGCTCCGCTGATCGTTACCTGCGACAGCCCCGTGACATGCCCTTATTGAACTGCCGAGCGAGTTTACATCACACCACCACTCCGACCCAACTCACCCAAGGTACGATGCTGGTGGGTAACGTTTAACAGAGCCAGGCGCCCTTCCTTCTCGCCTGAGCGCAGCAGCATACCAGGCAAGCTCTGGATACGAGTCCCTCGGCCACACGGCTACCGGATAACAGAACCAGGCGCCCTTCCTCTCAGCCTGAGCGCCGCAGTACGAAACTAACTCAACCAAGTACGATGCTGGTGGGTACCCTTTAACAGAGCCTGACGCCCTTCCTTCTCAGCCTGAGCGCAGCAGCATACCAGGCCAGCTCTGTATACGATTCCCTCGGCCACACATGTACATACATGCTGTTGCTACCGGGTAACAGGGCCAGGCGCCCTTCCTTCTCAGCCTGAGCGCAGCAGCATACCAGGCAAGTCCCGGATACAAGTCCCTCGGCCACACGGCTACCGGGTAAGAGCCAGGCGCCCTTCCTTCTCAGCCTGAGCGCAGCAGCATACCAGGCAAGCTCCGGTTAGGGTCCCTCGGGTTGCTAACGGGTAACGGATCTAGGCACTCTTCCCTCTCAGCCTGAGCGCAGCAGCATACCAGGCAAGCTGTGAATATTTCTTTGTCCATACACGGAAGTCTCGGCTCGGCCCGAGCGCCCGCACACATGCACCACGCCGGTTACCAACCTCGCCCCCGCTCTCTCTCTCTCTCTCTCTCTCTCTCTCTCTCTCTCTCTCTCTCTCTCTCTCTCTCTCTCTCTCTCTCTCTCTCTCTCTCTCCCATTCCCTCTCTATCTTCATCAAAACCAGGCCTCTCGTGTGCCTCCGCACTGCCCCGTACCTTAGCTTTGACGCGTCGACAACAGGCCGACATACACGCACATCATACTGAGGGAAACCACTGTTGACGTCAGTCGCACCCACCTGTCATGTCGTCGGTGTCGGTGATGCGGCAAACCTCAGCGTGCACGCAGCTACACGCTTGTAGTAAGGCGCCCGCTAGTGCTATAAGGTCACAGCCACACCTCAGGTATCGGGCGCTGTCACCAACCCACCATCACTGTCACCATAAATAGTTATCAGCACGAACACCAAATGATGACCATTTTCACTCTACGTCCGTCACCATGGCCGTCGCTGCTCACAAAGGGCAGCCCCCTCCCGTCACCGTCTCCCGCGCCCGTCCCTCGTAAACATCGTTCACTCGCTATCCCTACGCACACACCGCCCTCCCCTCTTCCCGCCCCCTCCCATCCCCACTGCGCCCAAACTGACAGTGTCCCCCCTCACACCTTCATACAGTGCCACTTATCTCCGTCTCACGTGTCGCCCTGTAGCTATCTCGTGTCGCGCCACTAATCCCACAGTAACAACCCCTCGCCGGCCCGTCTGAGCGTCACTGACGGATAGACTGTGCCGCAGCACAGCCGTGCAGTGCGGTACTGCATCCGCTATACACCAGTTATCAGCATTCGGTTGGCTGATGGCATAATTGGGGCGGCAGGCGGTAATACTGTTCGGTCAATCCCGATGAATGCACTAAAATTGTTTATGAGCCGCTCATCTTCAACATTAACTGCGCATGACAAAAAAAAAACTTGCAAAAAACAGCCTATACCTTATAGATTGTAATGTTCACAGCATTTTACTTCCGGTGTTAACACTAAATGCCTACGTTTCCGGAAATACGTTTAATTCGCCTAACTATAGTTTCACGTTCTATCGACCATGCTCATCCATTGTTAATAACGTTGACCTCATTCCTTGTGTTCCAAGCTCCACACGACCTACCGGTAGGCATGGTGATACGATAATCACGCGACGTAACGCCATTAAGCACATACCATACAGGAGCTTCAAACACTGAACGGACAAGTGCAACGTGCAACATGGTCCACTCTCCCCGCCCCTCCTTTCCCGCCCTTCGCCGCCCCACCCGACAGCCGACCACCACAGCGGTGGCCTGTGCGGCGACGGCAACCCGACGGTCCTGGTTTCGGGTACGATCCATAGATCGATCCGTGCTCGGTTCGGTCCGCTGCCGCCGGCCTTGTCGACGTCCTAGCGACCCGCCCGTTCCTTGCCGTCGACCCATACCGCGGCCGAGGCGACGCGGCCACTTCGTGATCAGGTGGTTGAACGCCGACGCGTGTCACGGGGCGGGTGACGTGACGTACACCGGTCGGACCCACGGGCCGTGCTGGGCCACAACACGCAACCACGATCGAGCCTTGGCAGCACGATAGCATGGACCGATAGAGGGAAGTATTGGATAGAGGGACCGATTAGGGATGAATGTGCATTCAAAATGAAGGAAAGGAAAAAATATCGCTCAGTAAAACCGTAAATGGGACGATCGTAGCGTTATCATGCTTGTAATAATATATTAGTAATCACATATCGTGCATTATATTGCTGTGATCGTCCAAAATCAGGCAGCAAAAGTTCCCGTACACTCGTTATCTGCCACTTGCCTTTCAAATTCACGAACATATGGTTTTGTTCAGGCGAGCTCTGCAGCTTATATGTATGTAATTGTCGTGACCTTCAATTCAGGGAAGTGTTTAACAAGCCAACGAACCAACTTTAAGTGCGGTCAAGCACTTCAGACCAACGTTTCTATTGACCCAGCAGACAAGACCTTACCACTCTCCCGATCCTTGCCACCTCCAAAGCTGCATGCGGTAATGACTGCTCCAACGCACTCTGCCAGCTCCCCTGTGTCGATTATGTCTGTTTCCGCTGTGGGTAGCCGACTGATCAGTGCCTGGATTTCAGGTACACTGGCCACTGTCCGGGACTTAAGTTCGATGTGGGCCACTCGTACGCCTGGCTGGTTCAGCACCGACCACAGGTAATGTTCGGTGGCGGGGCGGCTGGCAGCACGGCCAGACAGGTGCAGCAGTGTGTGTGTGGGGGATGTGGAAGGCTGTGGAGACCGAGTAGTAAAGTAATCTTGGTGGATACCTAACTCTTCGTGCGTGCTGTGTGCTAGGAAAACACCTACATATGCACTAGGGTGTATCGTCGAATTTTGATTTTTTTTAATCGTCTTCACTACTAAATTTTATTGGTCCCTGGCATGTTTGAAGCCGTAGGATACCAATCAAAAAAATCTGGGACGAAAACCTAGCCTGCTGCGAGCGGTTGAACGGAAGCCTGTCGGGACGGCGCCAGGCGTTGAAGTCTCCCCGTTAGTTACGCGCACACTAGCACCACGCGGCGGCTGGCGCCGTGCCGCCGCGTTCCCGGTCAGCCGTGTTTTAGCGTTCACTGACGGGTCGAGGTGATTATTCTAAGCTTTCCTAAGAAGCTTTCTGCCCCGCAGCTCATTATTGAGCAAGAATATCGCACAAACTGCATAGAACATTGACATGCAGGTTGTCGGCACATATGGAGAAGGGGATGTTTTGGTTAATGCCTCCTTTAATAGGAAGAGATTGTGGAAGAACAACACATTTCTTTTGGAAATTACTCATCCTCCTTCTTCCTACGTGCCTGCTTTAGTAATCGAAGTACCCCTATTGACTCTACGTTCTTGATTCGGCTGTGGATTTTATGCATGGAATTCCGCTGTATTATATTTTCTCGCTCAATGTCCCCTGAGCTATATTGAGGCGTCACGGGACAGCAATGCTCAGCACACAACCGCAGAGAAAAAGTCAATGTGGCCATGCGTTTTGTATGCCAAAATGTGTGAGCCTTGGTGTGTACCAGCAGCCGTTGTCACCATTGTAATTTTCACGACTTTATCTTTATAAGGATGCAATTTCCCACTTCCTAGTTCCCAGACTGGGTTTGGAGATATTATAGTTTTACAGAAACATTTGGGAATGTCTGTAATGTAAGTTAAAGCGAATACCGAAAGGAATCCACATATTTTCGATTTCCTGTTTGCTGTATTGCTTATTAAATGCCAGACGTCATGATGGCATGGTTGCGATTGATGGTATGCCGGATGGCCAGGGTACGAACTCACGGTAAGTCAGCTTGGCCGGCAGCCATCAACAGGCACAATAGTCTTACACTGATATCGTCACCCTCAGTTATTCGTCACCATTCAGCAACAAGCCCAGAGCTTCGGGCTTTGAACCGTAAGGTACACGTGAAGGAGCAAGACATTGCGCCGATTCGAAGGGCTGGAAGGGCAGCATCGCGGGGGCTGGAATGCGCCTGAGCGGCTGAGACCATCCCATTGGGACGGGGGTGTTCTGGGTGCACTCAGCCGCTCATGCTGGGAAATGCATCCAATGGAGCTCTCCATTCGAATGATTAGGGTGACCTTTAGTCTACAACAAGGAAGGATGACTGTTGGCTGGTCCCGAGGATAGATACAAAGGACAGGTAATGACATCATATAATGAATCGAAGACGGCCCCGGTCCGATCCTCTGATAGAGGTTCATCAACACGTATCTCGTTGTGGACCATTTCGTTTTCCTCCACCGTAGTTTTTGCACCGACCTGAACGGGTTGGAAGGTAACGATGTTCAGAAACCATTAAGATCGTAATTGTATATTCGTTGTATATTCGTTCACTGAGCAGGTAGGACAGGTTCAACACAGTGAAAACCTCATCCTATCATCCAATAATTATAAAGTAGTCTTCATGGAATGGAAAGGCTAACCTAACTCAACGAATATACAATTACGACCTTAATGGTTTCTGAACATCGTAATCTTCCAACCCGTTGAGGTCGGTGCAAAAACCAAGGTGGAGGAAAACGAAATGGTCCACAACGAGATACGTGTTGATGAGCCTCTATCAGAGGATCGGGCCGGGGCCGTCTTCGATTCATTATATGATGTCATTACCTGTCCTTTCTATCCTCGGGACCAGCCAACCATCAATCATCATCCTTCTTTGTTCTAGACTAAAGGTCAGCCTAATTATTCGAAACGGGTGGGGATGGGGTAGAGCTCCATTGGATGCATTTCCCAGCATGAGCGGCTGAGTGCACCCAGAACACCCCCGTCCCAATGGGATGGTCTCAGCCGCTCAGGCGCATTCCAGCCCCCGCGATGCTGCCCTTCCAGCCCTTCGAATCGGCGCAATGTCTTGCTCCTACACCTGTGCCTTACGGTTCAAAGCCCGAAGCTCTGGGCCTGCTGCTGAATGGTGACGAATAACTGAGGGTGACGATATCAGTGTAAGACTATTGTGCCTGTTGATGCCTGCCGGCCAAGCTGACTTACCGTGAGTTCGTACCCTGGCCATCCGGCATACCATCAATCGCAACCATGCCATCATGGCGTCTGGCATTTACTAAGCAATACAGCAAACAGGAAATTCGAAAATATGTGGATTCCTTTCGGTATTAGCTTTTAACTTACATTACAGACATTCCTAAATGTTTCTGTAAAACTATATCTCCAAACCCAGTCTGGGAACTGGGAAGTGGGCAATTGCATCCTTATAAAGATAAAGTCGTGAAAATTACAATGGTGACAACGGCTGCTGGTACACGCCAAGGCTCACACATTTTGGCATACAAAACGCATGACCATATTGACTTTTTCTCTGCAGTTGTGTGCTGAGCATTGCTGTCCCGTGACGCCTCAATATAGCTCAGGGGACATTTAGCGAGAAAATATAATATAGCGGAATTCCATGCATAAAATCGACAGCCGAATCAAGAACGTAGAGTCAATAGGGGTACTTCGATTACTAAAGCAGGCACGTAGGAAGAAGGAGGATGAGTAATTTCCAAGGGAAATGTGTTGTTCTTCCACAATTTCTTCCTATTAAAGGAGGCATTAACCAAAACATCCCCTTCTCCATATGTGCCGACAACCTGCATGTCAATGTTCTATGCAGTTTGTGCGATATTATTGCTCAATAATGAGCTGCGGGGCAGAAAGCTTCTTAGGAAAGCTTAGAATAATCACTTCGACCCGTCAGTGAACGCTAAAACACGGCTGACCGGGAACGCGGCGGCACGGCGCCAGCCGCCGCGTGGTGCTAGTGTGCGCGTAACTAACGGGGAGACTTCAACGCCTGGCGCCGTCCCGACAGGCTTCCGTTCAACCGCTCGCAGCAGGCTAGGTTTTCGTCCCAGATTTTTTTGATTGGTATCCTACGGCTTCAAACATGCCAGGGACCAATAAAATTTAGTAGTGAAGACGATTAAAAAAAATCAAAATTCGACGATACACCCTAATATGCACATAAACAAGCGCATATATGTATATACATTATGTGCAATGCAGTCCAAAAATCGCGGACTAGTAAGGTGCACACGATTTCTGCCCGTGCTTGCCAAATATACCATTAGATCACGGAAACCGATACGGTAATTCTCCATTCAATATTTAGGTCTCTAGTGATGGATGACTGGGGGAAGATGACCGATGAGCGACCGGCCTCGGGAGTGCCTATCTGTATAGCCACGCGCCAGCGAGGGGACCGGGAGAGCTTCTCGGAAGCAGGGTCGATGGGTAAGGGCGTCGCGTCTGCAGAGGTTTGAAGACTGTATAGGTTTCTTCCACGGACTGAAGTTGGGGAGTGATCGGTCGGCTATGACACCCCGCAGCTCCATCCGTGACTAACAGTGGCGCAGTGGAGCGCTGCAAATGCCGCGGTGGAGCGCCACTAACGCCGCTGTGGACCGCCACAATCGCCGCAGTCCGATCCGATCAGCTCCGCTGGTCCCTGGGGTGCGGGGGAAGGGTAGGAGGGCGGAGCAGAAACCAGCGACCGCTGGTTTCTGCCGTAAAATGAACCGCTTGCAATCGCAGACTCACAGTGGGCCAGGCGCATCAAAAAAGCGGAATTAAGTCGAAAATCAACTTCGGTGAAATTCCTGTAATTATGAAATAGAGTATTGTAAAAATGTCCAAAGTTTCCGAATAAGCAAGTTTCCTTTCCCCAATGCCAAGGCAGATAATGCTATAACGTCGCAAAGTAGGACTTACCGACTGGAGATGGAAATGACTGCTGTGTACCATATTCCGTTCCCCTGATTCAAAAGCTCTCAGCGTAAAATTATTAAAGTTATTCCGTACAAAATAGCTTTAAAAAAACAGCAAGTATTTCTGCGCATGTTTCTCGTACTCAAGTTCCCGGGAACTATTTCATGCTTACTAGTAGCGGTGGGGTTTACAGTGCCTGTTCGGAACCGTGGTAGTGCAACGACGCAATGAATTTATATAAGGATATAAAGAAAACGTCACCGAACAACACGAAGATATTTGCTGCCTGACTTTCCTCAAGGTGTATAGCTTGCTGCCCAATGCAAATATTTTGCGCATTTTTGCGCGAAATGGACAAATAAGGGTTTAACCCTCGCCGGCATAGGCCGTTTTGCATCCCTCGACGGCACAGGGGGATGCGACCCTCCTCGCGTTTGGCCCCTAATTGAGCTAGAGCCTCGCGGAAAAAACCATCGTGTAGGTCGTCACGAGACGAAGCCAACGGTACCCGGTTTTAAGGTCATAGGTCAAATGGTGACCTCTGAGGTCAGGTCAATGGCCGAAAGTCGGGACCTGTTAGAACGTCGTATAGTGTGGCTGCTAAGGGGTTTTTCGGGATGTTGATCACGAATATCATGTTAGTTTTGATCACAGATGATGTCTTCATGCATTTAGGCCAGGTCGGGTCAGCTCAGGTCAGGTCAACCAGTATGGGTCCTGCCGGGTATTCGTAGTAGGTGTCAACCCGCCTCTGACAGCTTCGTAACATGTTACGAAGGCACCAAAACTACTTCGTAAATGTTCAAATGGTTCCTAAATTCGAATTCAGCTCCAAAACTAGCCCAGAAACATGTAAAACTCGAAAAAGTGAACCGAGGTCATCGAAGCTTAATGACCTGACCTGACCTCCAGGTGACCTTTACACCCACTCTAATGCATGGGA